TATAGCATGATATGGAGTCAGTAAAGTGATAACAGAAGAAAGGTCATTCTTCTTTTAACTCCACATATGCTCCATGCCAAGATAAATCAACTTTTTAACAAGCCTCAATTTATATTATATGTATATATATATTATTTAACACTATGCAGTACAGTATATTTATTTTCTTAACTCTGTCAATTATTCTTTTTATACACTTTTTAAAGTCCACATTTGTGTGACAGATTTTGCTATAATCTTTTACTGTGTAATGCCACAATTTCCCAATTGTGGGACAATTAAGAGGTTTTCTATTCTATTCTATTTTATTCTCCAATGCCACAAATTACCACCAGAAGTGGTAAATAGAGGGATTTCCTGGAATAAAACCTTGAAAGAGGTCACAAGGAACCCAAGACAGGAGCAGAGCTTCAACTTTCAACATGAAATCAAAAAACATGCAGCCCTAACTACAACACCTAAAAAAATCTGTAGCTGTAGCTGCAGTAGAAAGCAATTACTGCTAATTCAAATGCATGACTCACTTTTGGGATGTCATTTAGAAAGACTTTGAAAAACTTTAATTTCACTCAAAATCACATTTATATAGGGATTGCAGTGATAAGACTTCAACAAATACCAATTTTTGGCATATGTTTGATGGAAGCAGTAGTTGTGGAAAAAGTAATAATTTATACTCGGACAATTTATGCATCAAATGATTTATAGAGATTTTTCTTTTCTTTATTTGACCTGCCAGTGACTGATTATCAGACCAAATCAGGGGAAAACTGTTGATTACAAAATTATTCCAATCTCTGCCTGATTGGTTAGTACACGTCTACAATTATGTGCCACATTGTTAGTCTATGAAAACATTTTTGCATTTCTTTTTTTGTTTTTTAAGTGTAAAATGAGGAAAAATTTTAAGTGTAATGACCACCCCTGAAAGGCAATGCTTAGCTACCAGACAAAAGAATTAAGCCACTTAAAATATGTGGTGCTGACAAATCTGCTTATTAGGATGGAACAAGAGAATAGATGTTTCAATGTTTGTGCAAAATTACACATTATTTCTACTTTGAAGAACACTTTTCTTCTACAATCATTATGAAAAAAAGTTAGAAACAACAAAGAAGTAACCGAAGTGTAAAAAAATAAAACAGAAAACTCAATCTGCTGTTGGTATAAGCTCATGTTGTTTATAAATTGCTGAATAAGTACCTAAGAACTACAAGAGGGATAAACTGAAACACTCTCAACTGTAATTTTAAGAGCACCAAATTAAAACCATATTTACAGTAGAATTTGAATGTTTTATGGCAGTTTGGTTTTAAAATGTGTAGATTCAATTTAGGTAGGTGCTAATTGTGCCCACATAAAAGCTCACAGTTCCTGAGCAGCATCCTGCCAAGTTCACTTCTATAAAGTAGACCTACCCATGACTGGAATGATAAGAAACTAATTATAATAAAAAAAAAAAAAAAACACACTTAAAAAGACATTGTGGATGCTCTAAGCAACTGCATCTGTTCCTAGATAACTGTTTGTCATGTTGGCACATTGTAGAAACATGTTAAGCCTTTGCATGCTTGTGAGGCATATCATCAAAACAACAGGGCCCCAGCTTTAAGCCCTAAGCGTAAAACCTTTCAGCCATCCAAGCAAAAACATTGTCATTAACCGTATATCCTGTGTTAGAGGAAAAGATAAAAAGAGGTCAAAGCTAAGCACAAAGAAAATCACTGTCTGGATCGAAATCTGATGGATAATGACCATTTGAATCATTCATAACTCCTATTTCCTATTCTTCCTTTACTTTTTTCTCTAACTGTACATTCAGCAGATGCTAGTATTATTCATTCGTTTGTCACATAAAGATCACTGCAGGTTAACTTTGTGATGCAGAGCCATAGAACAGAGAAAAGTCAACTCGTGTGACGCTCAGAGCAGATTTCCAGTCTGAGGAAATCCAGTCTGCAGCCGGCGGAAAGAGAGAGGCTGGTGGAAACGGTGTAGAGACAGAGGCAGAAGGGCGGAAAATGCTTTCATGGAAAACAGGAGAACACCATTCTGAATTCAAAACGATGTCTCACCGTTAAGTTTGCATCTGATTTGGAAAGCTTTATAAATTTGAACTAAATTGGCTCCTCTCTGTCTGTACAGCCCTTTTTTTAACTTTGCAACTGAGGCAGACTTAATTGAGTGCCTGATAATTTAACAACTACACAGGCTAAGATGACCTGTATCGCCTGCCTGAACAAGACCTTTGAAGACCAATTAACTTGGAATGCCACCAAGGGCAATTATAGCTGCTAGACGACATTCAGAGGTGCTGTTAAAAAGGAAAGAAACTTCAAATGTTGTTTTTTTTTTTATATATATAAACCCCCCCCCCCAAAAAAAAAAAAAACACACAAAAATACCCATAAATCCTTATTTGTTATTGCAACAGATTAGGGTTGGATATTGGCATTGTGAAGATTAGTTATGTTTGCAGACAATCCAGAAGGACATGTGACTTTGGTGCCACAGATGGGAGTGTTTCACTTCAAACAAAGGCAGTCGGGTGTTTACTGCTCCAAATAACCTGCTCGCTAAGCAATTCATCAGAATCAACAATCCATTATAGTCCCGCAAAGCGTTTTTGTCATTTAAATCCTCTCAATCATAGCCATTCTTCTTAAACTAAGGAACAGCAGTGCCCCAAGTGGAACGGACATAATGAGCAGGCCTGTGAGGACTCCATTGACTCACCAGTCTCCAGTAAAAGATGGCTGGCCTGCAGCTTCTATATTCTTCTTGAAAGAGAGTTTTATGGCAAAAGCACTTTCAGGGAAAGTGGCTATTTCCTTGCAGGTGTCTGAAAAAACACTCCTGGACAACAACAATAAAACAGCATAGTGACTAGGCGTCTTGTTCGACAACATTTCGCGGGGCAGAGAAGTACAACCTGGTGATTTACTTCAATACACTGATGTATTGGGTGCAAAGATACAACAGCAACCTGCCTGAGCAGGAGTTCCTTTATCGATATATACTTGCAGCATAGAATGGTGTGCATCCTTCTATAATGCCAAGCAGCTTTTGCAACAAGGAGAGTGAGATAGTGAGGGTTGTTGCATGATGTAAAGGGGCTTGGTTCAGTTTTGTGAGACATGGGATAGTTGCATTCAGCAATTACTGGGGGACTTGTCCCCCACCTCTGAACTGAAGGTGACGTGGCTTGCCCTATAAAGCCAACATGGTCAGTATATACACCCACGGAGCTGAGATCCGTCCAGTGCCTGCGGCCCCTCCGCTGCAGTCCAGGAGAGATAATTATGACATCCGCCCCCTTAAGTAGCAAGAGACGGTTCAACTCACTCAGCCCTGAGAGCAGCCCCATTTTTTTCCCCCAGTTTTTAAGCTGCATTTTGTGATTGATTCAAAATTTTCTGGTCTGCTTCTCTGCCTGAACAGACCCTGATAGCAGTGGAAAGATGAGCCGCTGGTCTGATGGCTTAAATCTGCACAACTCAGGCCAATACTCTTTGGCTGTTTTACTCATTTAAACACCTGGTTAAACAAAAAGATGTTCACTGCCATGGTACTCATCACCACTAAACTGCCTCATATTTCAAACTCAAAATTGTGTTTTCAAGCCCAAATTTCTGGAAGCTACATTATTGTTTTATATTAAAATCAGGGTCCCTATCAGACTTCCTACACCCATTTTGTGAACATTTCGGGATTGTAGTTTTTAGACCTCTAAGTTGATTTTTGGAGAGTTATTTTTTTACTTGTGAACTAACAAGTTTAGTATTAATCTACGACAGTTTCATCTATGAATTGTTTGGTTGGTGAAAATATGGACAGAATAATGAAAAGATTTTAATAGAAAAAAAAAAGGTTTACATTCAGATTAAACAGATCTACAGAGGATGGATGGATGGATGGATGGATGGATGGATGGATGGATGGATGGATGGATGGATGGATGGATGGATGGATGGAGTGACAAATGAGGGGTAGATCAGATGTAGATACAACAATACACTGGGCATCATTGGACAGGATAAACTGACTATAAACTTACTAATTTTAGGCAATAATGAAAATAGACCAATGCTTATTAGAAAAACCTGAATTAAAACTTATTAGATCGAATCGAAAAATCAAAGAAAGTTGCATCATTTATCAAATTTTCTCACATTTTTCTAACATCAACCAGGGCCCAACCATATATCCCCTTTAGGTGACATTTACCTGAGCCGTTTGGCCAATAACCTTGATTCATCCAAGCAAGAAATTGGAGCCCAGATTCAATTAAGCAATTCAAAACTTAATTAGCACAGCACCTTTCTCATTAACTCCCATTTAAGATGAACTATAGCCTCATGAAGTAGAAAATGGTGCTGCAAGATCAAGCGCAACTTATCTCATTTGCAGTGATTTATAGCCAATAAGAAAACTGTAAAACAGCGAGCAATAAACATACCTGTGTGACCAATGAGTAAATCAAACTATTCAGGTACCTCTTTAGTTGCAGAAAGAAAATACATTAATTATTTGGCGGGATTGTGCTGGAATATAAATATCCATATAGTGCACATGTTGGTGCAAACTTTTGCAGTGGTTTTAGGGAGGTTTGGCAGCGGGACCACATCATTTCAGGCTGCCATAAGGCAGCGCAGCACAGTGGGAATTAGGTCTGTGTGTGGCGCACAGCCAGGTGTGCAGGAGGTAGGTATTGTAAAGCCCAACACCTCATGTCTTTTTTGTCCTCTAATATTCTCCTACACTGTTATGGATCCATTACACACA